ACAGGTGCATTTTATTGATGGCATTTTGAATGCACAGAGATACCGTGACGAGATCCTGAGGCCCATTGTTGTGACATTCATCCACGACCATCACCTCATGTTGCAGCATGATAATGCACGGCCCCATGTTCACTGGAGATCTGTACACAATTCCTGGAAGCTGAAAACAACCCAGTTCTTGCATGGTCAGCATACTCACTGGTCATGTCACCCATTGAGCATGTTTGGGATGCTCTGGATCGGCGTATATCTATCTATCTATCTATCTATCTATCTATCTATCTATCTATCTATCTATCAAATATGCATTCCATTCGTTTTGTGAAATGGTATGTTTTGTCGGGCCTCAAAGAAATATAGAGCTGAGTATCATCTGTGTAACCATGAAAACTAACTCTATATTTTTAATGATATCTCATAAGTGTAGCATGTACGCAGTGAAAAGCAATGGTACTAGTACTGAGCCTTGTGGTGCACCTCTTCATTTACTGCTACAAAATGATAACAGTCAGAAAAGAATGATTTGAACAATGCCAATGCAATTCCACTAATTGCAGCATAATTTTCAAGCCTATCCAAGAAAATGTTCAATAATCAATAGCATCAAAGGCAGCACTGAGATCTACTAGCACTAATAGAGAGATGCAACCATGAAAAGCAAGTCATTTGTCATTCTGATGATTGCAGTTTCAGTGCTATGAAGTGGTCTAAAGCCTGACTGGAATTCCTTGCAGATGCCATTTCTTTCCAAGAAGAAATATAGTTGTGAAGATACCACTTTTTCTAGTTGTTCTGGAAGGTTTGAAATCGGTCTGTAGTTAACTAATTCTTTAGAATCGAGTTGTAGGTTTTTAATAAAAGGCTTGCAGTTTTTCTGAATTGCTAAAACACTAAACCCCAATCTCTATCTCTGAACCAAATTCTCATTAGCTTAAACCAATTTGTTGAAGTTGTCTAGCAAAAAAGACTACATTACTTGTGATGTGGACAAAGTCCTCAGGCCGGACTCAAGCACAAAGACATGATGCTGAGACAGAATGAATCTCTCATTGACCCTGATTTTACGATTGCACAACTTACAGTATTTGAGTGTAACATGCTATTCATTTAGAGTTTTATTTGACCTTTTTGGCCTTTGCAGTTGGACTGCAGTATTTTTGCAGTATCCAAGTGCTGATTATATACATTCAGTGCTATTCAATATTCAGCACAATACTATTCTTGCAGTACATACAGTAGGCCTATACAATATATTCACCTTACTTACTAGTAATTAATTGTAATTACTATACTTTTTTACAGAATTGCAAAATTTACTCAATACAATATACTTTTTTTCTGTAATGTTCTGGGTGCTGTGCTCTCCATTTTTCTCTGTAGTGTCTGATGAAAGCTCTGTAGTGTTTATTTTATTGACTCGTGTGTGTGTGATCTGAGAGCACCGTTTGATTTTGAGTGCAAGTAAAATGGTTTTACAGTTATTGTTTGATTTTGATGGAAGAGTCAGAGGTTTCGTGAATTTAGTTTGAGTATTTGGATTTGTGTTTAAGGTTTTGAGAAAATGAGTGATGGTTTCAAGAAATGTGTTTTAGCAATTCAGAAAAACTGTAATAACAGCCAGCTTGAAATTTTTTGGGTCATATCCTAACAATAATGATGAATAATACTGAGAACAAGTTCTATGACTTCCAGAAACATCTCTTTTATTTAGCGTTTAGCTTGCTAGGTATATGGTCTTATAAACATTTTGTTGATTTACATTATTTAATCAGTTATAATGGATTATAGTTCCAATGGGCGTTGAAGACATGGGGGCCGTGTCCCCCCCTCACTTTTAATAAAATGTAAATTCGTCCCACACACTTTTTTTCAGGCAACGTCCTGCTTAAAATTAAATAACTTTTTTCTGATTTGATTTCTTTTGATACTGTTGTGCTGGGTCAGAATTTAATGAGTAATTGTGTCAAAAATTTCACCAAAATGAATACAAATGCCCAAAAAAATCAAGATATTATTTAAAAAATGTACTTGTATGTGATCTTGTTTTTATATTATAAAATATAATTAAGCAAAATTACGAAAGCAAGAGAGCTGTTTTCACGAATATGAGCACAATTGCAAACGTGATGTTGATTTTATACAAATATTAATTTATATTAAGTGAATTGCATTTTAGACACAATTTTAAACAAGTTTTGCTATTTCAACAAGTAGAAGTGTTGTGCATTTCTGAGCAACACACAGTGGCGTTTCATTATAATCTTTCAGATTGATTTGAGGAGCGATGGCTTGGTCTTGGTCTTGACTCGGTCTCATTCTGCATTGGTCTTGGTCTTGTCTTGATTTCAAACTCTAAAAGTCTTGGTCTTGTCTTAGTCTCAACACTCTCTGGTCTTGGTCTCGGTTTAGGTGGTCTTGACTACAACACTAATTCAGTGTGTTATAGTCCCAGTTATAACCCCAAATAAGTTGTAAATATTGTTACTCGGTGTGCCCTTTTATCTTATACCTTTAACCCTATGATTATTCAGGTAGGGTAAGGATAGTCAAATTTAGCCTAAACCATGAAGTACTCACCCGCCTGCAGGTTGAAGTACTTCAGGAATGACAAAGAAGACTCCCTTCTGGTTGTTCTTGTTTGAGGCTTAGTTTGCAGTTTGTAAGTAAAGTCTCACGGGAGGCAATTGTAACAATAAAATCTCTTATTTTATTGGTTACAATACAAAGCAGTTAATGCAAAAATGAAACAAAATCAGCTAAGCTACGAGTTCTAAACTCAAACTCTAAACAGCAATACTGGAGATGCTGGTGCCCCTCGACAGGGTATCAGGTGTCCTTCAAGCTTAATGCAGGCAGCATAAAGAGTGGTTTACTCCTCAGACCTTTTATACTACTTTTTGGGGAATTCCAAATACATATCAATGTCTGTGACTCATGTCTACTGTAATAAGATGGCTGTCCTTCCCCTGCCGCTTACATTGCTGTCTGCGTCTAGCACTCTCAAAAGTTAAACACAACTAAAGCACAGTTGTCATCGTTTACACACAAAGATTCAAAATTGTTCACACTTGTTTCTAATGATGTGATCAAGCCAACTGTACAACATATGAGCCAGTTCCGAGTGCACAAGTGGCACAGGTGACTGAATGATGATACGAACAATAGATGGAAAC